GCTAATTCAGGTCTCAGTTCTGCAACTGCAACACATAGGGCCTGAGTTACTCAGACTGCTTTCTCACACATGGAAAGAGAACATCAATGTGTCAAGAGAGCAGACACACAGGCACAGAAAGAAAATCATATGTAAAGAGTCTCTTCCACAGCTTACTTGATGCACACTACCCAAATGTGACATGTGATCCCCAGGACACCTGAGACGTGGGTGGATGAGGGGAAGAGCTTGAAGCTTCAGGCTGGAGGTACCGCTGTTCTCCAGAGAAAAGAGGACAAGGAAAGGGGCCAGCTCTGCTCTCCAATACCCAGGGAGTCGGCTGCAAAGCTATCATTCTTTAAGAGATTCAGAATGGCAACTCGTTCTCTGAGTGAAAATCTACCCTCTTTAACCATAAGTAAGCATCAGGCTATAGAATCACAAAGATTCAATCACCAACCAAATAACCAGGCACCCTTCCTTTACCCCTCCAGCACCCACTTCCCAGGGCAGCTCCAGGGCCACAGCACCGCTGGCCTTGTGGCTGGGCTTTGGTCCTGCAGCAAACCTACTGGGCTTCCTAACCTTTAGCAAAGGGAAAGAGGCAGCTTTTGTTACAGTGCTGACTTGCTACAAGTTTCATCAGACTTCCCAGGGGAAAGAGCAGTCAGTCCCTCTCTCAGGGAGGCAGAAGTGATGAGCGGGGTCTACAGCTCAGGTGGCTATTAGATGGGAGATGGAGAGTAAGAGCAGGAGTCCTTGGGGTTCAGGCTGAACTAGTCTCTCAGTCCCAGAACAGTCACAGGTGAGCAATTACCTGAAACCCAAGCACTAATAAAAAGCAGCCCATTACCCTGTTTTCTTGTTGTTTTTTGCTTTTGGGGCCACACCCTGCGGTGCTCAGGGCTTACTCCTGGCTCTGTGCCCAGGGGACTATAAGGGATACTGGGGGGACTGAACCCGGGTAAGCCGCGTACAAGGCAAGCACCCTACCTGCTATGCTTTGGTTCCAACCCCCGTTTTCTTTCTTTTGCACTTTGAGGTTCTGACAAAGCGAGAACAGCTTGGAACAGACAAGCTTTTGGGATAAATAAGATACCAAGGTCCATGCCCCTGCTCTACCCACCTCAAGTACCCCCCTGCAAAATCCCAGAACCTGCAGATTTTCAGAGTACTTCTATCATCTTTGGAGGCTGAGACATTTCATCTACCTGAAAGTCTGTTCTAGATTCAGACAATTCAAAGAACTGGAGCTTATGCAAACACTGTGAGCCTTGGGATTAATTGCAGGTACTGCAAGGTGCCCTGAGCACTGCCTAGTGTGGACCCTACCCGCACTCCACAAAAGTCCTTTAAGATCACATAATAGGGTCGATGTAGTTTAGCAGTAGAATATTCTCCTTGCATGAGTGAGCCTGGGATTAACTGTGAACATCACACACACACACACACACACACACACACACACCAGGGAGATGGCAAAAAGGTCTATGGAGTGCAGGCCACACGTGCTGGAACCCTGACACCGTGGGGCTGATCCCTGGCACAACAGAATCGCCCAAGCACCACTGGGTGTGACCCATCTCCCCAATTTTTAAAAAATTCTACGACGTTTGTTTTAGGACTTTACACTGCAGGATTCAGGGGCTACTTCTTGGAACAGTGCTCAAGGTCACTTTCAGCCCTGCAAGTGGTAGTGGTGGGGGGACCATGAGGTTCTCGGGATTGATCCCAAGCCTCCTGTAGTAGAGCATACACTCCAACCCTTTAAAAAAAAAAAGATGAAGAAGAAGAACATTTTTAGAGGCCAGAGAGATAGTACAGAGGTCAAGGCATTTGCCATCAAACAGCTGACCTTGGTTTTGATGCCGAGTACAGCAAGTCGTCACCAGAGCACTGACAAGAGTGACCCCCGACCATAGAGATAGGAGTAAGCCCTGAGCACCACTGGAAATGGCCCAAGAAAACCTGACCAAATTTTTTTTTTCTCTTTTAAAATGTTTTTTTGAAAGAAAAGACAGTTTGGGAAAATAAGTATGCAGCACCAAGTCTGTGATAATACAGGATAGCTTTTCTCATCAAAGAAAAACAGGGTGACTGCAAAGCCAAGAAAATATGACTGCAACTGGGTGGGACTAGGGGATGAGGCTCACAGAAACAGCAAGTTCTGGGAGGAGCTGCCCTGTCTTGGTTGGGGAGTGCTGTGCTAGTTGGCCACAACCAGCAGCTGAACCAGAGGTGGGGCAGCCATCACCGTGTGCTTCCTGCAGGGCGTGGCTCGGTGCCCACCTCACAAGAAGTCTCTCCGGTACTTCCTGATGGGTCATCTCTACTGTGCACACTGTCTGTCCCCCATTAAGACTGGTGTTTTCAAAGGGAGACATTGCTCTGGTACAATGTCTGGCATGTGGAACAGCCACTTTTGTTATAATGGAAGCAAGATCAAATTTTCATGTTTCCCCCTCAACTTCTTGTCACAAAGGTCAGGCCAGTGCTTCTCAAAAGGTCTCTCTGTTCTGTCTTTCTGGCTCTGTTTCAGGCCCAGCTGCAGCGTCCCCTTTCTCAGGCCTTTAGTTTAAAGAAGCAAACTTGCAGTGAAAAGTACCAGTAACAAACAGTGCTCTTCAAAGAAGTTGAAGAAGCAGAAGGAGGACAGATTTTTATCTGCCACTTACAGCACTTGCCACTTACTAGCTCTGCTACTAAACTTGCCCTTACCGTCCTTCAAGGAACTAAGGGGGTACAGTTCAAGTGGCAGAATGTGCAAGGCCCTGAGTTTGAGTCTGGCCCTATATGCCCCCTCCAGAACTACTGGGTGTGGCGCTTAGTGGCCCCTGGCACCACCAGGTATCTCCCCTCTTAAAAATGAACAACAGGGGCTGGAGCGATAGCACAGTGGGTAGGGCGTTTTGCCTTGCACGCGGCTGACCCAAGTTTGATTCCCAGCATCCCATATGGTCCCCCGAGCACTCCCAGGAGTGACTCCTGAGTGCATGAGCCAGGAGTAACCTCTGTGCAGTGCCGGGTGTGACCCAAAAAGGAAAAAGAAAAAAAATGAACAACAAACTAGGGATTAACAACCACCTCCAAGGATGTTAGGTGACCAGATGAAATGTAAGAAAGCACCCGAAGGTCTATAAGGTTGGTGGCCAATGAAGACTAGTTATTATCCTTTCCTTTCTACCTCCAATTCTACCCTGAGCATCGCCACCCCTTTCTCAAGTATCTAAGGGGAAGTATCTGTGGGATGTAAGGCAGCATCTGGCCTGTTCTGAGTCTTAAACACTCTGTTACAATCACTTGGGGAAGAGGCAGTATTTGGGCCACAATCTGCAGTGCTCAGGGGTTACTACTGACTGTACTCGGGGATCACTACTGGCAGGGCTTGGAGAACCATATAGGTTGTCAGAGATCAAACTTAAACCTGGGTTGGCCATATTCAAGCCAAACACCCTACCTGCTGTACTATCGCTCTGGCCCCTGTTACTAACACTTCTACTCTTCCCTAACCTTCCTTCCCATAATTCACCCCGAGTCAAGGAAGTCTCCTCCTTGAGACTTTAGTCATTTCATAAAGTTTTTCTTTCATTTCTGGACCACAACCAGAGGTGCACACAGTCTACTCCTGATTCTGTTAACATGAATTACTCCAGGCAGTGCTCAGGGAACCGTATGTACTGCTGAGCTTTAAACTAGGTTTGGCTGCATACAAGGATGCATGTTAAATGCCTTAATCCCTGGACTATGTCTCCAATCCCCCATGAAGGTTTCTTTTTTTGGGGGGGGGTCACACCCGGCGATGCACAGGGGTTACTCAGGAGTTACTCCTGGCGGTGCTCAGGGGACCATATGGGATGCTGGGAATCGAACCCAGGTCGGCCGTGTGCAAGGCAAACGCCTTACCCACTGTACTACCTCTCCAGCCCCCCATGAAGTTTTTCACAAGAACACCACCCCTCACCACCCTCCACCCTCATACATATACCATAAATCCAAGAAGTCTTTTTTAAACACACGAAGTTATTATTTACTCAAAGATAAGGCAAAACTGTACCCAGGCAGTAGTGACACATATCCTACATTCTCTTCCGGAAGCTGCCTGGTCACAGCTGGCTACCCCAACCAGAAAGCAAATGACAAAAAGACAAAAATGACCAAAATGACAGCTAGAGCGGCCTTTGTGGAAGGAAACCATTACCTCTGCAATTTATTTTGCCACACAAAATATGCTTACTTCAATATTGTCATCCACCTCACATTTGCTTTCCACATTCCCATGGGCAAATGCATACCAAAGAGATGTCCCAGAAACAAAATTTACTGGAGGGAAGGGCTGGGGACCAACCCAAAGTGAAGGCAACTGAGTGATTCAAAACCCCAAGTTACCTCTAGCAGCTGCTCCAGAAATAAGAATGAAAGAGAACGCTTTCAGCTGAGACAAGGTTTTGAGACAAGCTGACTTCTTCAGAGAAATTTTTAGAAAGACACATGACAGGGTCCTGGACGGAAGCTGCTATAACTCTCATCAGAGATCCTGGTAAGCACAGCAGGTCCAGGCACCAGCAAGACACTGGAAAGTGGCCAATCCCAAGAGAAAGGGAGAGAAGAGAACCAAACCCCTGGGACCAGCCTGTCAGAAGTAGTCCAGAGAATGATTCACATATACTCTGCGTGCAACACTCCTGCTCTTAACCAGATCCTGGGAGGAAACCCACACAGTTCCGGAGGAACATTTGAGGTACATGCCATTCCATTTTCTCACATTTTGCTTATAAGTGTCTACATCTTTTTCTGAGATTGATTACCAGTGACATGAACAAATATGCTCCATCACTCAGGGACAGTCTGGACCATTTCAGGGTCTGTGGCTACACAGCTCAGGACTAGAGCTCTCCACTCAGCAGCTCCAATGAGCCTCCCATTCATCGTGTAAACAGCACACACAGACTAAAGGCTACCGAGCAGTCAGCTAGAAAACCTACTGTCCCACGGCACTGGCTGACCAGCTCCAAGACACATACCAGCAGGCTAAGATGCAAAGCCCCGTGAAGAGGATAATGGGGATGGGGTAGGAGGCACAGAGCAGCCCATGGTTATAGAAGGCCTGAGATATCTTCTCCCGCAGCCTTTCAGTCAGGGTCATCCTCAGCTGAAGTCAACTTGCTGCCATCCCGGAAAGTGACCATGGATCAGCCTGGCAAACGTTGGACAGCACTGACAATGGACACCATCTGCAGGTACCTGGCAAGAAGGAAGAAAAGCCAATTAACAAGAGTACTGGGCCCTGCACACTGGGGGGTGCGGGGGAGGTAGCAGTGTGTGGGCTGGGAAGTGTTTCAGGAGGTTCACAGGCAAAGTCTGGAGCCATCATGGAGCTATCGATAGCAACGTGCGCCCACAGACCTCAGCCTGCTCCTAGTACTGGGCAGCCTGAAATCACTCAAATCAAATATGCCAACGGTTCTGTAAGAAACACTCAACCCTCTTCTGTAGGAACTATTTTTAAAGGGCATTTTTCTTACAGGTGGCACCAAGAAACAGCCCTGTGTAACACATCACCTTCAGCTGCTCTCTGCCAAATGTGTTTTCTCTCTTTCTGAAGTATGTTTAGCAGAATCAACCCTCAACCTAAATATACCAAAAAGCGTAGTCCCCTGAGATAAAATTCAAGTCAAAATGTACTCTGGCAGCTGTATTAAGTGGAGTGTTAGATGCTGGCCCTGCAGTTGTTCCTGAACATGTGAGGAAAAAGAACCCCATACATGCACACTTCAGCAGCTGCTCCCGTCGTTAATAACAACAGCCTAATTTGGTCTAGGGAAAACACCTCTCTCTACAGCACTTAGCTTGAAATGACTGTCAAAGTGCCTCCACACACCCCCAGGCCTGTTGGGCCTCTCCATGAACTTTGACTTCTAAGCACAAGAAGCAGGGACTGGATATAGTGGTACACATCCTATCCCTAGGAAGTTCCTGGCCCAAGATTACAAACTACTCTGATTCAGCCCTTTTATTTACGTCATTACAGTTTGTTGGTTTGTTTGTTTTGCCACACCAGCGGCGCTCAGGGTTACTCCTAGCTCTGAACTCAGGAGTTACAGGAGTGCTTGGGGTATGATATGGGATGCTAGGGATTGAAACCAGATCATCTGTGTGCAAAGCAAGCACCTTAACCTCTGTTCTATCACTCTGTCCCCCGATCCAGCCTTTAAAAGACAAAATCATCAGCTCTTCTTAGTAAGCCATCCTATATTTCTCAATAAATCCTCTTTTGTATGTGCTAGCTAAAGTAAATTTCTATTACTTACAAGCAAAAAACCCTTAAACCAATACACTTATCACTGAAAACTTGCACCAAAGGTCTAGGAATCCAGAATTCTTTTCCTGAGACCGCCAATGGAATCTAAGTTTAAATCCATTTCTGTTCTGTTAAATTCATGCTCTTGGCTTAGTTACATTCAGTGATGAAAATTCAGGCCAAAAGGAGAATTCCTGCAAAGTGTCTAGACCAGAAATAAGAAGCAAAAGGAATCTACCCACAATCAATGCACAGTAAGAAATGGCTGCCGCCTTCCATCTTGCTGAAAGCACAATTTCTCGAAGAACTATGCACCTTTCTAGAATAGATTCTAAGAAAATACACAGAACCCCAGGTCCACCCAATAAACAACACAGAAGACCCAGCAGGTGACAAAGAGTAGAAGTGTTCACAGTAACTCAACTTTTGGCCAAACTTGCCCTAGAATAACAGATCAAAGCAAGCCCAGAAACTCTGCAACCCTACAAACTGCCCCCAGGGAGGAAGCAAACAGGAATGAGGCACACACCTTCAGAGATCACTCAACAGGATCCTAGAAGACTGATGGCTATCAGCTTACCACCCAGGTCCTCTGATAAGCCATGCAACTCTGCCCTTAAGTGTCCCCAAGACCAAGACCACCAGGAAATCCTGACCCTACTAGCCCCAACTCCTCTGGTCTTTGCACACAAATCCACAAATCAGCAATGCTTAAGTGTATATGCATGGGGGGGGGAGGGAGGGAAGGAAGGGGGCAAGGTACGCAATGACATGGATCTCTAAAGCCCAGTTCTTAACATATGGACTTCTGATGAGAAAAAAGTTATTCTCTTGCATTTGCAATGAACACATTTTTATTTTTCTGACACGAACTTTGCTATTTATCTTTCATCAAACTTTATTAACTGAAAATTTTTGCAGCACCTGGAAAACAGAGCTTTAAAAAAAATTCTAAGGGTCAGAGCTGGAGTGCATGTTTTGTACACAGGAGGCCTTGGTGTTATCTCTAATACTGCACAGTCCTTGAGCACCATCAGGAACAAATTCTAAGCATGAATCTGGGAGTAGCCACTGAGTACTGGGCGTGCTCTAAAAACAAAACAAAAAAGATATTTCTTTCGAATTTTTATAAAACCAAGAGGTCCCAGTCCATCAGTTATATAGCCAGCACTGCCTATGGTCCAACAGCTGTGACCCCTGGGCACAAAGTCAGGCACAAGCCCTGAGCACCGGGTGTAATCCAGAAACCTAATAAGTATAAATATTACTTATTACAAAAAAATTCTACTGGGGCTGGAGCAATAGCACAGTGGGTAGGGTGTTTGCCTTGCATGCAGCTGACCCGGGTTCGATTCCCAGCATCCCATACGGTCCCCCGAGCACCGCCAGGAGTAATTCCTGAGTACATGAGCCAGGAATAACCCCTGTGCATCGCCGGGTGTGACCCAAAAAGCAAAAAAAAAAAAAAATTCTACTACATTTACCTTACCTACCTACCTGAACCTGCAAGAAAACAGGTTTCCATCTCTACTTCCACAAATATTTTAGTGTAGTTATTTCAAAGCAAGATTTACCCAACATGAACCAAAAACCAATTTTTCTCACACAGCCCAACAGTTCTAGGATGCCTCAGATGGGATCTCCTTCACAGTTTCAGGAACTTAAACAGACACAACATGTGGAAAGAATGGAGGTCCTGGAGGCTAAGGGACTGCACTACTGCTCTAGCCCCACGATGATGGTCCATTTTGTTTCTGTACTTACCAAACTTTCACCACTTTAAAGTCTCTTCAGGGACCAGGGAGAGTTCAAAGGGTTCTGAAGCCACGCACAAGGCCAAAAGTTCAATTCCTAGCATCACACTCCCCTTTAATGTAATTGAACCCAAGCTGTCCTACATTACCAGGCAAATACCGAACCACTGTACCAGGAGTAATCCCTGAGCATTGCTGGGTGTGACTCAAAAAAAAAAAAAAAAAAAGCAAAAGGCTCCTAGATTAAAAAAAAAAAAATTCTCTACCTCCAACTCACACTATTAAGAAACAACCAAAAGGGTTTCTTGCCTTGCATGAGGCTGTGGTGGCTTGTGACCCTGGTACGAATCCTTGGCACCACACCTGGATCCACAAAGATGAAGCTCCTGAGCACTGCCAGGTGTGCCCCCTCCCCCCAAATTTTGTTTTTTTTTTTAATAAATGTGCCAATAGCAGTGGAGACAGCAGGGTAAGAGATGTAAAAACAGAGTCCAGGCTCTGCCCGAAGCTTCCCTGGTTCATCTGCTGAAACTTCTCCCCTAAGCTTCAGCCATATTTGAACTGACCTGCAGATGTTTAATGGCCACACCACTGCTCTGAAGAAATGCCTAGAAGTAAAATTTCTGGGTAGGGGGCAGAAGCAAATAGTTCAGCGAATAGGGTACTTGCTTTGCAATTTGGGTTCAATTCCCAGATTCACATACAGTCTCCTGAGCCTGCTAGAAGTGATTCCTGAGCATGGCCAGGTGTGGCCCAAAAGCCAAAAACCAAAAAAAAAAAAAAAAAAAAAAAAAAGCACCAAAACTCCCCAAAAAACAAAAAAACCACAAACCCACTAACCAAAAAACCCCTGCTGAGTAGTATAGTAAGTCTAAATTTTCTTTTCTTTTTTTTTTTTTGTGTGTGTGTCTAAATTTTCAAAGAAGCTGTCAAAGCACTTCCCAGAGACTGCCTGTGCTGTCTTACATTTCCACCACATGGCACAGATTTTCTTTGTGTCCTTGCTAGCATCTGTTTATTGCTACATTTTTTTTTAGGTGTTCCAATAGTTATGTTCTGATACTGAGGTTCTTAATTTACAGTTTTGATTGACTAGTGACCCTGTGTGTGTGTGCGTGCGTGTGCACGTGTGTGTGTGCGTGCATGTGTGTGTGTGTTTATTGCTTAGGCTACATGCATAAGATGATGGCCTAGTTTCCACTGCTTCTTTTTCAATCTGGACACCTCTTCGTGTTCTTATATCACCGTCCTGGCTAGGAGTGCTAGGACATGTCGACCTGCTATGGTAAGAAAGCTCCTATTCTTCTTCCTGACCCTGTAAGGTGAGTGTTCATTCAGTCCTCGGCTGAAGCAGCCAGGGGGAGTTTTTCATAGCTGCCCTGATGAGGCTGAGGCCACTCCCAGTCCTACTTTATGAAATGTGGGGATTTTGGTTTATTATAACATAAAAGAGTTGTGTGTGTTTTGATCATGTGGCTTTTTTAATTTGTTTGACTAATAAGGTATATTAAATGGTTCACTGATTTTTTTTCCCTTACATTTCACCAATTTTGCACTTCTAGATATAATCCTATTAAATACTGCTGGATTTAATTTGCAAATATTCTGTCAAGGACTTCTGTGTTTAAGGGACAGGTAGACTGCTTCTCAGCTGGAAGCCTGCCTCATGAGCAAAGGGGAGAAGGCAACTAGAATACATAAGGGATCACTAAGAAAACGATGGCTGGAGGAATCGGTCGAGATGGGAGATGTGTGCAGAAAATAGATAAAGGACCAAACATGATGGCCTCTCAGTAGCTATATAGCAAAACAATGCCAAAAGTAAAAAGAGAGTATGGGGAAAATTGTCTGCCATGGAGGCAGGGGGAGGGTGGGAAGGGGGGGTATACCAGGGATATTGGTGGTGGGGAATGAGCACTGGTGGAGGGATGGGTGTTTGATCATTGTGTGATTGTAACCCAAACATGAAAGCCTATAACTATCTCATGGTGATTCAATAAAATTTAAAAAAATAATAATAAAATAGAGTGAAAAAGGAAAAAAAAAGAACTTCTTTGTTTATATATTCCTTATATCAATAAGGAATATACTGGTATACTGTACTCTTTTTTGGCTTTTTGGGTCATACCAGGTGATGCTAAGGGATTACTGCTGGCTCTACACGCAGGAATTACTTCTGGAGGTGCTGA